AAGACGTGAGCATCCAAATGTCATTTTGTGATTTGGCTACTGTCTGCTTGAATAGGAAGGCCCTATCAAGAAAAACTAATGGCGTGATTAACTATCAAAAGAAAGTCAATGGTAAGAGTTTTCATTTAAATTATAATGTGTCTGTGTGTGTGTGTGTGTGTGTGTGTGTGTGTGTGTGTGTGTGTAAAGCATACCATTTATTATTTGAATTAAAATTTTAGAACTTTAAAAATCTAGGACATAATGCGAAATGTTTGAATTTATATGTCTGTGACTTACATTTGTAACAAAATACATGCAAAGAATGGTTTTATAGAGATTTTATATGCTTAATGTTGATAAGAAGACTAATTAAAAGTGTAAAAAATAAGTTATATAATTCATAATTGTTTACCACATTCAGGGTTTTTTTTGTAGAGAACTAGTTCTCTTTAAAAAAATAGCATATTATAAATACTGCTTGTATGAAGTTTAACCTTTTTAAAAAATTTATACAAAACTGAATTTGTTAGTTTCATATATGCTTCTTACAAAAGTAAATGTCATAAGTTTTGCAATAAAATAGTATATTGATCTCTGTTTTGTTTTTTATGTCCGTTATAAAGTGATGGGTGGGGAGAAAGAAAGTATATCATATAATGAAATCCGCTTAGTTTAGCATTAGGTTTTTAAAACTGTATCATTGCTACAACATCTCTGTGGAAAATACTAACTTATCAGGATAGATGTTTAAATGAAGTGGAGTATCTGTTCATAATACAGCACACTGTCAAATTTTGGTGACAAAATTCTGACATCTCTCCCCTGCCTTATACACATTTGCATTGAGAATATAATTTAAGTTTGGCTATATTTTAGTATGCTTCAAGTGACTTTAAACGTAATCTTTTTATTCTCTTTGTATTTGTTTCCTAGATATGCCTTGATTTGGACATCTGTGTCCTCTCAGATTTGTGATTAGTCATGTTAACTTTGGACAGGAGTGAAAGTAGTAGCTTATAGAGGTTAAAATAAAAACATTTCTGTTTGTCAGAGCTTATTTCAGTATTCTCATGGACACAGATAACTGGAAATTGGGTGTTGAAGCTCAGATATTAATAATATATTGTGATTTTTGTTGTCACACTTACAATTTTTGAGATTGACATAGTTTGAGTAATTTGTCTTGCTCAATTAGAGGTGTCAAAATGATGGTAACTGAATGTGACCATATTTTTAACTATTTCCTAGAGCTTAATAATAAACATACAGGAATAGCACATGTGGCAAGCACCTAGCACAGCATCTGTCATTATGTAAGCGTTCAGATGTTGACAGTGAACTAAGATGGCAACATCTGTCCTTCAACCCATCTACCTAGTAATTCCAGTTTTTAGAGATTGTCTGTTATGTGCCATCCATTCAGCTAGGTGCCAGGGATAAAATGTCACAGTTAAAAACAGAGATTCTTTCTAACTGCTCTTGAACTTCCATGTAGATAGTAATTACAGTGTAGAAAAATTATGCAGACAAATATGAAATTGCAACTGGAACCAGTACTATGAAAGGGCAAAAGTCACTATGAGAGTAAGAAGCAATATGGTGGGTGTGTAAAGCACAGAACCCATACATTTACTTTTTTTTTTTTTAATTTTTTTTTTCAACGTTTATTTATTTTTGGGACAGAGAGAGACAGAGCATGAATGGGGGAGGGGCAGAGAGAGAGGGAGACACAGAATCGGAAACAGTCTCCAGGCTCTGAGCCATCAGCCCAGAGCCTGATGTGGGGCTCGAACTCACGGACCGTGAGATCGTGACCTGGCCGAAGTCGGACACTTAACCGACTGCGCCACCCAATTGATAAATTGTTTTAACTTTTAAAGTTTCTAATTCTATTTAAATGGGTATCTTCTAAGCAAGTGTGCAGAAAGACTTTTTGGAGAAATACATGTTTTATGCTGCTAGTCTATTTTCTTAGATTTCCAAAGAATTTACAAGAAAATAACATCAAGAATTTAGTCAACGTAGCATTCTTATGTGAGAAATTCTTAGGGGATGTGTTATTTCAGGATTGAATAAAGTGAATGAGGACCCTGATTTCTTCAGCTGAATTTAAGTTAATTAAAGGATGTCAACCATAAAATAACTACTCTCCACTCTTAGCAACTGTTCCATTCTGTTATCAACCTAGTACAGGGATTTATTTATCACTCATTTACATCATTGAGTTGTTACATGTAGACATTTCTTAATGACAATATGATTTCCTTAATCAATTTTTATCCCTTTTTGAAAGAAAAGAATGTAAAATTTATGTTTCTTTTATAAATTTATTCTAACACATATATTCATTAAATTTTTGCAAATAAAAAGGAAGAGTATTTGGATGCCTAATAAATGTTTACACTTTTTCTATGGGACACAGAATCTCATCTAAGGCAAAGACACAAGTGATGTTTGAAGAATTATGAAGTTCGTTTTTTTATATGTTAGATCTGTCAATATTTTTAGTTTTTTAAATGTTTATTTTGAGAGAGAGCATGCATGAGCAGGGGGAGGGGAGGGACAGAGAGAGAGGTGAGAGAATCCCAAGCAGGCTCCATGCTGTTGAGCAGGGAGCCCCACATCGGGCTCCATCTAACAAAGAACCTTCAGATCATGACCTAAGCTGAAATCAAGAATCATGCACTTAACCAGCTGAACCACTCAGGCGCCCCATCTGTCAACATTTTTAAAAACTCTCATTGAAGACAAGCTTTTCTTTATTCATCTGATAGTATAAACAAATTGAATGCAATCTAGTATGCAATGAAAATTCAAAAAGCTTAGTTTTACAATAGAAATGATCTTTGCCTCATTTACTACTAAAATGTGTAAGCTATTTAAAGTATTCAATGAACATCTTTCTCAAATAGAAGAATCAAAATTAAGTCCATTGTTAACTTTTTACTTAAAATTATTATGTTGAATTTCATCTCTGCAGTGATGTCTAAATTTATTTTTTCCTGGATGTATTCAAAAGAAGGTCGCCAACCTCAGTATTCTGATTTGAAGTTCCTAGCTCAAATACGTAGGCAATTCCACTTAACAATGCTAGAAGAAAGAAGTCCTCCAGGAGTGTCTTGAGGGAATTGTACCTTTCTGTGTAACATGCCTTACAGCGCTCATGACATTACATTTTTTTGACAGCTCTTTTTGCTTCTATGCAGTTAGCTTTGATTGGTCTATGATATCAGCTGGATGAGCATTTAGCCATACAAAGATATTTTATTTTAAAAAAATTTTTTTTTTCAACGTTTATTTATTTTTGGGACAGAGAGAGACAGAGCATGAACGGGGGAGGGGCAGAGAGAGAGGGAGACACAGAATCGGAAGCAGGCTCCAGGGTCTGAGCCATCAGCCCAGAGCCTGACGCGGGGCTCGAACTCCCGGACCGCGAGATCGTGACCTGGCTGAAGTCGGACACTTAACCGACTGCGCCACCCAGGCGCCCCCATACAAAGATATTTTAAAAACATAGATAGGTATACATCACAGAATGAAGATGATAAATTACATTTATTTTACTGAAATCAGTAAAAAAATAGCCCTTGTTTCTGAGCAAACAAAGGTCTACCAGTAGTTAATCAGTTTTTAATTCTATTAACAAACAATGCAGTATCTGCTTGAGCGCGTATGTCGTAATATGATGGCTTCTGTTTAGAATTTTGGAGCTACTACTGTCAGAAGAAATGGTGATTAACAATGGTATTGAATTGGAAGTTTGAGAAAGGAAAATTTTAATAAAAGTTATTGTTCATAGTTGTGAGAAGGAAAAGAACATTTTTCAATTCATTATATAAGGAAGAACCTTTTAAATGTGGAAAATAAAATGGAGTGCCTTCTAGAATTCATTCTTTTAAGAGTCTTTGACAGAAGTTTGTAAAGAAGGAATTCTTGCTGATAACAATTATAAGTATTATTTGGAGGAAATTTGTGGCACATCTTAAAAATTAATATAGTCATATAAGTATATAAAATATGTGAAATAGATGTCAATAGCAATATTAAGCTACTATTTATGGTGAGAGCTTTACTAAATAAACAAGAGATAAAAGAGCCAATCCAATTCATTCATTCTATAAATTCTTACTGGCAAATTGCTTTATGTCAGGCATGGCATTAGGCTTTGGAGATATAGTCATGAATAAGACAGATGGGACCCTATAGTTTATACTGTCAGGGAAGATAGATATTAAACAAGTAATGACAAAGTTTAGTGCCTTGTGACTTTATAAAAGCAAAGCAGGTCTTTCTTAAAGATACCTTGAGAATTGATTTCTAGTATGCTGATCATTTAATCAGCTTACTTCATGAAATAAAGTGATTCATTTTGACTTAAAAATTGAATAAAAATTCTTTGGGAATCAGTCTTAGAAATTGGTAGAGACTGAAATAGTCTTGATTTTTATGTAGCTTACTTAAAACAAACTATGGAAAGACCTTCAAGTTTTTGAGTACCAAGAAATGTGAATATAAGCAGAATAAACTCATAATGCCTCATGTATGTCATATACTATAGATCATTTAATCAAATTATTAAAGCAGTTTTACATGAAAAAATGTCAAAGTTGTAATGGTTAAGATGCTACACTCTGGAGTCAGACTGGTTGGATTTAAATATTAACCCTGGCATTTACAAGCTTTGCAATTTTAGGAAACTTGTATAACTCCTCTGATCTTCAGTTTCCTCATCTGTAAAATGGGGACAATAAGAGTACATACCTTATAGAAAAAATAATCGTTTGATGTGTCTAGAGCAATGTCTGGCACATAGAAAGTACTTAAAGGCTCCACATGTTACAGTTAACAACAATAAGAACAATGATGAAATAATTTCCTCATATCAAAGTGTCCTGCCTAATTCACCGTGTTGCGCCAACTGAAGTAATTTCAGAATGTTGGCTTAAATATATAGGTGTTACACTACAAAGAACTATTACCTTTATTACTGCTAAACAAAATGTCAGTGAGAGTCTCACTCAAGTTTTGGGCCCTCTTTAGCAGCAATACAGCAATCACTCAAAGGCCTCCATAAATTGCATCTCCAGGACCAAGGTTGTCTCAGCCTTTAATCCAAGACTCAGTCCATCCCAGGCATCATGGAACTGATCTTTCTTGTCTAAGAAAAGAAGTAACAAAGATCTTATTTATCCCATGGGAGATGAGTCTAAACCAGATTAGAGTAAGTTTGAGGAGGAAATGACTATGTTGATATTAAGTATTTTTTCCATGCAGATATCTAAAGAAAGAATTTCTTCCTACAATAGGTCTGCAGTATATTTGTGACATTTGTAAACTTAATCCTTGTAGCACTACTTGTTACTTTACTTACATTAGAAAACAAATTTTCTTTCATAAAATGGTCATATAATTCATTACTACTCCTATATGTAATTTGTGAAAATATTTTTAAATTTATAAAAAAATATTTTTATGTCGACTTTCACTATGTCTTTTAGTTTGATATCCTAGAAAAATGTAAGAGTTAAATAATTTTTGCTGAGTAATTCTAGTTGGAAAATGACTTCAGGGTGAAATTTAATATGACCTTTTCTTTGATCTATGATTCTGTGACTTAAGTCTACATAGGTAAAAGGAGAACTTGTATATTTGTCGATTGATTCAGTTATATAATAAGTGCAAGCAGGTACTCTAATGAATTGTTTTCATATTAAATATTTGAGTTAAATCTAATGTATTTCATAACCGTCTTGTTTTTGTTTGTAATATGGGAATATTTTTCATTGTTAAGATGCTAAGTGAGAGAAAATTCTTTGAATGCTACAAGTGTGGTTTCCCATGACCATAGTTAGTTTAAATACGATCAGTCACGAAGTGTCTGTTGAAAACTTACTAGCTATCTACCACTTGCTAGTTGAGAATTGATACCATAGTGTTATGGTATCCAAAGAATTATGCCATCATTCTGTTTAGGCCCTAGGAAGACTAGGGCTATGGAAAGAATACTTACACAAGAAGCAGAAAATCTGAGAACTACTTCCTGTTATGCCACATATATCTTAGATATAAGAACCTATTAAAATTATGAGGACACTTAGCATCTCAGTCTCTTTGCTAAATATATGTCATGTATATATATGTGGGTGCATATGCCTATATATGTATGTACACATCTGTATATATCCATCCCAAATTTTTGCACCAAATTGAAATGAAGAGCTAAGAATTCAATAAGTTTTTTAATGTCCCAGTATAACAGAGTAAAAAATTCTGTTCTGCATAATATCTTACATGGTTCCTTCAAATGAAAATACAGTATTGATTTTTATGTATACTTTTTAGGATTTCTCAAATATTCTCACATAAATTACATACTGTTCCAGAACTTCACAAGGGGAATGTAAAATTTCTTTAGTCGGCTTAATTTCAAACTGATTTCCTTGTAAGTGATTAATTTTTTCTAATAAAAAATTTTTAATGGATGCCAAATTATGTTTTTATATCTTTGACTCGTTTTTACAAAAAAAAAAACAAAACAGTTTTAAATAGCTGTAGTGGTCATTCGCAGCTCTGACATTTGCAACATTATTAAGGCATGTCTAGTTCTTTTTTTTTTTTTTAATTTTTTTTCAACGTTTTTATTTATTTTTGGGACAGAGAGAGACAGAGCATGAACGGGGGAGGGGCAGAGAGAGAGGGAGACACAGAATCGGAAACAGGCTCCAGGCTCTAGGCCATCAGCCCAGAGCCTGACGCGGGGCTCAAACTCACGGACCGTGAGATCGTGACCTGGCTGAAGTCGGACGCTTAACCGACTTCGCCACCCAGGCGCCCCAAGGCATGTCTAGTTCTATAGGATTATGAGTTCTCAGGTTAATTTTACTAATTCATTAAAAAGTATAATAAAGCATTTTAAGGGAAAAGAAATAAAGTATAATTTATGTGTACACATACAAACTTGTTTGCTTTACTAAATGATCTCACAGACTCACTTAAACATCATTCCCTCCTGCTAAAGAAGAGAGGACTGGTTGGGAGTGGCTAATTGGAGCACCATGATATTATTTAGCTCTGCATTAGTGTTGTATAGGTCTGTGTCCTGACTGGTATTGAGTTAGGTGAATGTTGGTTAAAAAATGCCATATGTATATATACACGCATGCACACACACGCTAACCATAAGAAGTTGTTTGGTATATTTATTGAACTACTAGGTGCTACTGTGGTCATAATTAGAATAATTTTTCATATAAAAAATCAAAGAATTAAAATTGATGCCATTTTAAACTTAATAGAAGACTTAACACCTATATTGTGAGCTACTTCATTTTAAATGTTAAAATGTTACAAGGATAACATTGAATGGAAACATTTTTTGGACAAGAATAACATTTAAATTTAAAAGTTATTTGGACGAGGGGTCTCTGGGTGGCTTAGTCGGTTAAGTGTCCAACTTCAGTTCAGGTTATGATCTCACTGTTCGTGAGTTGGAGCCCCACGTCAGTCTCTGTGCTGACAGCTCGGAGCCTGGAGCCTGCTTCAGATTCTGTGTCTCCCTCTCTCTCTGCCCATCCCCCTTCTGCTCTGTCTCTATCTCTCTCTCTCTCAAAAATAAATAAACATAAAATAAAAAAAATAAATAAGTTACTTGGAGAAAATATTAAAGCAATCATACGAAAGCAGACTAAAATTTATTTAAAAATAAAATTAACAGAAAAAACTTTTTTGGAGAATTTACTTAACTGTGGTGTCATGTGGAAAAATGTCTTATATATCATTAAGCAATTGTTAAAAATGAAGTCAAGAGCCAGCCAATTTAATAACCTAATTGCTGTGAAAATAAGGCCACAAGTCACAGTCACATCTTAAGCTGTAGAATTCTTTCTGTAAAGGGAGATTAAGTGATGACTGCTGTTCCCTGATGGAAGTGTTCAACGTGGCATGCATAAGGGCTGTACGGAAGTCTTACAAGCTGAAATGTGTTTTTGCCACATTTTACCCAGTAGAAATTCATCTAAAGTTTTAAGAGAAGCATATAAATCCTAATATCCCTGGGGATGTTAAACTTTCATCTGTCACTTACTTGAATACCTGAGTACCTATTTACTAAATATTAAAATACTATGCTTTCACAGTTAGCACAGTGAGACTGTAACATGCTACATCCTGTTACTTAGCTGAGACCAGTCAGTCTCATTCAGAGAAGGAAATATCAATTGGTTAAAGAAGGGGTCATTCCAATAATGGAACAGTGTTTAAAAATGCAGACCCAACTAATATGTACTATTAAAATAAGAAGGCAGCAGCTTGAGTTTTTTGAGATACAAAAGAGGTAAGAAGATACCAAAATAAAATAATTTACCTTGCATTCATTCAGTGTCTCCTACAAAATGTAAATCTTTTGTTTGGGGGGCACAAGTTATTTTACTTTTCTGGAGTTTTGTTTCCGAAAGTATTGTTGGGCTAGAATTAAACATGTTTTTCTGTACAGATACTTATATATCTGTAACAATATGAACAAGTCAGATTAATTTTAATTGTTTCTTTTGAGTATAATTGACCTGCAATGTTACATTAGTTTCAAGTGTACAACATCCTGATTCAACAAGTTTATATACTATGCTGTGCTCACCTCAAGTGTAGCTACCCTCTGTCACCATGCAACACCATTACAATACCATCTACTATATATATTTTTTTAAGAAAAAAAATTTTGGTGACTCAATTGTCTGGGAAATGACCCTTTTTGGAAACCAGAGTGCTCATATTAGCTAAGGCAAACCCTTCCTGGTTGTCAGGTACTCAGAAAAACAAATTCAGTGAGTCAGAACTTATCTTGGCTGAGCGCCTATTGTGTTTAATGGTGGATTTTGTTTTCATTATATGTTATTTTATTGAATATATCAAAAGTTCTATCAGAAATATGCTATTCTGTCTCTCTTACTGATGAGGAAACTGAGGTTCAGAGAGGCTGAGTGACTTTCCCAAGGTTGCACAGCTAGTGTTTAAAGTGGTTTGTAGGCCAAGTAAGGCAAGGTATAGAAAGCATTCATTGCATTTTATAGTTAGAAGACCATTTGATGTTTCCGTGTAGAAGTGGGAGTAAAAGGCTGACTACTTTGGTTTAATGGTGGGTGAGGACCTAGAAAATGATTAAAACAGGTATGGGCAACATTTTGAAGAATTCTGGCTGAGACAGGAAGTAGAGGGCTCAAGTAGGTAATTTGGGATGCAATGGAAAGGTGGAAGGTTTGGAAGACACAGCTGGGGAGTTTGCAGACGGGCAAATGGGAAAAATTAATTTTAAAATGAATCTTTTAAAATGTGGGCACATCTGTTGCAGGACAGGCTGTCCTGTCTTTTGCCTCCTTGCTTTATATAGGTCATGAATGTTTGGTATGTGGAAAGGTAGTAAATAATAGTTCTATTCTTACTTACACTAGAAAATATTTAGCTTACTAGGTGATGTTTCTGGGGGGCTGGATTTTAAGAACTTACTGTAAAAATTTTCAAGCATACACAAAAGAAGAGAGACTAGTGTAATAAATGCCCCCTATCTGTGGCCCAACTTTAACAATTAACCAAATTTTGCCACATTTGCTTCATCTACTTCCTCTTTTTTCCTTAACTGTTTTAAGATAGATCCTGTGTCTTAACTCTTTTTACTTCTACATTTTCCAGTATGCGCTTCTTTAAAGACATTTTTCTTACATAACCAGAATACGTTTCTGACATCAAACAAAATTAACAATAATTATTTATCACCTGATATTATCTCCCTATTCAGTTTCCTCCACTTGTGATTCAAAATGCCATATTACATTTGGGGTGCCAAATGCAAACAAGATCCAGATAGCATTTGGTTGGTAGGACTGCTCTGTAATTAAAATGCCTTTTCTTGGGGCGCCTGGGTGGCTCAGTCGGTTGAGAGTCCGACTTTGGCTCAGGTCATGATCTCACGGTCCGTGAGTTCGAGCCCTGCGTCGGGCTCTGTGCTGGCAGCTCAGAGCCTGGAGCCTGCTTTGTATTCTATGTCTCCCTCTCTCTCTGTCCCTCCGCTGCTCACTCTATGTCTCTCTTTCAAAATAAATAAACATTTAAAAAAATTTAAAAAAAGAATCATTTCAGATATA